TTCAGGTAATGTTTCTGTTTGTGGATGATACTGGTATTTGGTGTACTGGAATCGCATTGTTTTCACTTTAGTTTTGAAATGAGGAAATGGAAATGGCAGTGCAAATAAGCACCTTTTCTTGTCACTTGTGCTGTGTTGTGATTTGTTATATCTTTGATGGATGGGTGTATGATCATCTGCCTTGTTTAACCAATGTCAAAGGAAAAATGGAATGGAATGGTAGTTATGCACACGATTATGTGTGTGTGATTGCTCAATTTTATATTTATGTTTTCAATAATTTTCTGTGTGGGCATCATCATCGTGCTTGCAATATTTCATGATTGTTTATCATGGTTCTAACTGATGGGTTGTCTTGAAGAAGTTAAAGATGTTATTGATATTTGTATATGGAATTTCAGAGTTCAGAAGATCCTGCAGCAGCATTTTGCATTAAGCCACAATCTATGATGATTAAATGGTTGCTTATTGATTTAACTGAGTGCTTGGGTTTTGTTTTCCTAATGTTGGGAATAGTTTTCTACTTTATTTTTTTTCATGAAGTTGCTCCTTACAATTAAATATAAAGTCTGAGAATGTTAAGGTAGCAGTTATAGAAATCAACATTAATTGAAGAAGTAGGATTTAGAAAAGAGATGACAGCGTTCTCTCTTCATTCTTGGTTGGAATCTTTGGATCAAGCAGATTCATGAGACTGACCTATTTGGCTGCACAAATGTTTCTTGTAAATTGTTTTGAAAATTTAGGTTTATTCCTCTATCTTTTGTTGAATTGTGTGGACCATTTGTAAACTTAAAGATAATTTGTCAATCTTTAGGACTGTGATTGGTTCCAATGAGAAATAATTTAAAGTAATTCATGGCTACCTTTTCATATTTTTGTATAAAATGGTCTTAATCTGAATGGTCCTTGTACCAGAGGTTCATGAAAAGTCATTGGTTTAAGTGAAAAATGCTGGCTGTCCGTCACAGTACTGTGCTCAGTGCAATCTGGTTGTTGATTCTCGTGCTTACTTGGATTGGAAATATTTACTTTTGGCGCTGGTAGTACGTATTAACTAGTGGGACTCCAACCCACACTGTTGGTTGGGGAGATCAAGAAATGCATATTAATAATTTTCACCTCTAGAAATTTTCTATTCTATTGATGAAAATTGGATGAAAGAGGCATAGAAGTGTGCCAGGATGAATAGATTTCGTGGTACCTTTTTTTCTGTTTTAATTTGCTATATGTGTAGAACTGTTGCAGGAACGGAATCTGTCCTTTCTTATTGGAAAATACATTTGACGTTATTAGGGTCTTTGTGTTATGGAGAAATTCAGCATGTTAAAAATCAATTGATATATATATATATATGTATGCATACAACCCTGATATTGCATCTCTGTTCATGACATATAGTTTAAATATTTTAATGTTATAAGGTATGCCATTGTAACATTATCCTTTGTTGATAGATTTGGGGAGCTGCTTTATGTCTGGCACAATGTCTGTTGAGACACAATTGTAACAATTTATAGAAAAGCTAAAAATCATCTTTGCAAGGTTCACAAAACTTGAGAAAAATGGCTCGCTTAAGTCACTGCAGTAGCACTTCACCAGAAAAAAATTCTTTGGCTCTGCTTCAGAAATGGGTATACTTTTTGTTCCTCAACAGTTGGGGAATTCTGATTTCTACCCAGCCATGAACTTCTATGGAAGCTACATTGCTCTTCCCAAAATCTTACTTTTGTGGGCTTGTATATTTAATGACTCAGCATTTTGAAGGAGAAATATGCATCTTCTTTCTGTGAACTTTGTGAAGTCTAACCTGAACCCCAGTTATTTCATTCTGTCAAAGTATTTCAGGCCTTTACTGCATGATCTAGTTGGCAGAATTGTTGAACAGGTATGAAGTAGATATTTCATGTTTATCAGTGAAACCATTTACCGAATGTTGTCCATTGTACCTGTGAGATCTAAAGATTTGAGAATTTGGCTGCTCCTTAGATGAGGTATCTCTTCTGCTTGACTTTTTTACCATTCTGTTATCTAGGTTGTTGATTATATTAACTAAGTGTTATCACTCGTTTGATAATGATGCTGATGTGATTTTACATAACAGACAGATGTGGTGATGTCGTTGACCTTTCGTTCGCCCTCATTGTTACAGATTGATGTTTGAAATGTATGATTGTCCGTAATTTATCATCAAATAAGGTTTTATGGAAGATAAAATCAAAGTTTCTTTGAAAGTTTGACCTAGTGGTTTATATATTATATAGGCAGGCAAGCATGAAACATGCGTTTCATCAAATGCTTAATGATTTTTCTCTGAACATTATCAAAATAGGTTGGCAAAATCAAAATTTCTGCTGCTCCCACCTCTTGTATATGTGCCTTTGGTCTGGCACCCATTGGAATTCATACCTTTTAGTCCTGCTTTATAGATAGTCAACTTTCCAGCCTAATAACAGTTGTTTCTCACAATATGATTATGCATTGAGCATCCATCTTGCCTTCTACGAAAACTCTATTTTATATATTTGTTTCATTTTCAAAGCATGATGGGAACTGGTATGAGGCTACTACTTTAGCTTTTATTATCAATTTTTACGCTTTCATGTACAGATGTATCCTTTTCTGTGTCCTCATTTGCTGAACTGTTACTGGGATTTGAGATCATGATACTGATATACAAACAGGAGACATGGCACAGTATCTGTGGGCGTTCTGATGGTAACCTGATTTTTACCTTTTATTAACATTGTTCTGAAAAGGTCAAATATTCTTACCAACTCCCACCATGTGATGTTCCTTACTTTCTAAGACATTGTTTAGATTCGCTTAGACCATATCTAATCAACTTATATGTTCCTCGGCGGTCCTTAAGGATGATGTTCTTTCTATCTCATACTCCAACCATGTGACCTGCTTTTTGCATGAAACATTTTTCTTAGCCCTCGACTTGATTCTCTTGTATTATATTGAAGCAATTGAGATTTCATTAACCAACCCTTCTCTCTCTCTGATAAATAGTCCTCTTGAGACAACACATGTGATTTGCAGGTTCTGCTGCACTCTGTTTCATATCTACACCATCTTATTGCCTCCTCACTTTTTCTGCACATTCAAGTGGTGGTGTATTTTTTGCAAGATTGGCTTAATTTCTAAGGTATGCTTTTACTTTTCTTCTATTTCATGCGACCACAGTCTTGATATCTTAAATTGCACATCTATATTGTTATTGCTTAAACGGTGAATATCTAAGTATGTTTCATTAGTGCGTATATGTCCTGTTGGTAGTTTAGCTCCGTCCTTGGCTCTTAAGAATCTGTCAAATGCCCTCCTCTTCTTAATGGTTGATAGTCGCAACGGCATTAAAAAACTTCTTCTTTTCCTTTTTTTATTTTTATGCATAGTCTGTAAACTCAACTAGAGTTATTAACTACCATCTAACAGTGAACTTGTTGCATCCAAGAAATTGATGATAAACGGTGGGGCGTTCAGTTTTTGGTTTTTAAATGGAAAAATGCTTTTATCAACTCTAGATTGTACCACCAATGAGGGGTTGGATCAAATAGTAAGTGACTTGTTCTATTTTAAGCAAGGTCTCGAGTTCGAGTCTTTGGGTACGCAGCAGTTTTCGTTGGGAGACTCACTCACCATTTCTAAGTGCGCGACCCGGGTCAGGTCCGGATTAGTCGGGGTGAAAGCCCGAATACCAGGCAGGAAACCCAAAAAAATAAAAAAAAAAACTCTAGATTGTACCTCTTTTCCAACGATTTTGACTTGCTTAAAATTTAGAGCCTTACTAATTTTCTCGGGTTCCCACAAGCTTGGCCCAGTCAACTTAGGAACTGGGCTGCTTTTAACCTAATGTAGAATATGAGTGTGGGCCGTCAACCTCTAGATCATTGGAACTTTGGCAGACATCAGGATGAGTTGGGTTGAGACTGGTTTCCTTATTTTCTCAGAGATTGTTTATACTTAACTGGGATTGGGCTCAGTTGTTCATCCTCACAACTTGCAAGGCCCTGTTTAGGTAGAAAAATATTTTATTTAATTTTGGAGAGCGGCACCTTCAAGCAAGCCATTTGTGAACATTTTGTCACTTTCTTAATAAAATATCCTAAATAAGGTATCAAGAAAAATGTTATCTAAAATTATCTTTTAAATATCTTAAAGTTGAGGATTTTGATAATTCATTTCATTAAAGATTTCCACTTTTCTCATGTCAAACTTCGGTCGTGATATTAATCCAATCCATTTCATATGCTTAGGAGAAAAATCGTATGAGCTGCTTCTTATTTAAATTTTATGCATGTAGAAGTCCAGAAATTAGTTCATTATGTTGCATAACAAATACCCTATGTTTTCTCCTTTCTGCACCGCTTCTTAGAGCTAAATCCCAATGTATCTGTCTGGTACTAAAGGTTTACAGTCTCTGAAAGGTTAAAAGAAAACCATGCGTTCACTTTGTCTTTACCCCTGACATCTTTTATCGTTTCATTTAAATCTATTATAACATGAAGTTCATAGTATTAGTCCTAGTTGTTCTCATTCTTCTAACTCTTGTGACTAAACCTTGTAGCAATCTTATTACCATTTTGAGTATTGCATTCCGATTCATGTCACTAAATATAGCCATTTTAGAAAATTAGGAATTGATCAAGTTTTATTTTAATAACTGCCCCACGCTAAAGCAACACGCTTGCAGTTTTCTAATTAAAATCTCGTCTTAGTAGAGTTTATAAAATGCAATGACAGAACAAGTACACGGGGTAGGCGAAGCATGCAACATCATGAAAATAGTTTTCAATGTTGGCCTGGCTACTTGCAGTCCTATAGTTTTTATGTTACACGAAGGATTGAATATTGTTGGATAAATATTTTGTCTATTGAAATAGAAAATGGCAGAAAACGGCTGGCTATACTGAACCATATGAAATGGATTGGATTAATATATCAATTAACGATGACAATATTTTTAACTCTTATTTTGTGCTGAATACACGTCAATGAGATTAATGTTTAGGTTAAAGAAATTAAGTTGGTCTAGGCTTTGACCAATGTCCACCATGATCTATCTGATGAAGGTTGCTTTGGTGATGAGTCCTTTAAACTTTAATAATTGGAAATTTTAAATATTAACTCCTGATCTTGAGCTTAGAAAAGAATAAGAAAATGAATGACAAATTGTCACGGTATAGAAGAGATTAGGGTAAATTGCTTAAACACAAATAGTAATTTCTTGACCCCCTTCTTTCAAGGGAAAAAGTAATTATGCTTAGGGACCTATGTGAGTTACAGGAGACATTTTCTTCTTAAAATTAAGTTGTCGGCCATTGATGACATGCATGACAATTGTTTTAATTCCCGAGTACTTGGAGTTAATGAACATGACCTTGAATATATTATATGTTAAAAGGGTTTATCTATCTTTTGCTCTTTAGGTACAGGATAAGGAGTAATAATTGTATAATTATTATAGTGTTTTTATTTTGAAAATAGTAAAGTTGACTTTTGTTTTAGTTACAAATGTCACATGTTAGTTTTTTATTCGTTCATTTTGAAATTGAGATTAAAATTTATTTTTTTAATTTAAAATTTATTTTTTTTAATTTAAAATTTTACATCTTTTAAAAAAAAATTGACAATTATTATCTAATAATTAGGTCTTGTCCTTTGCTCTTAGGGCATAGGATAGACAAACCCATGTTAAAATGATGTCCATTGCTTTTCCGGTTGATATCAGAGCACTTCTCTTTTGATCTTCTTTGTCAGCTCCCCAAATGGGAAAAAAATAAATAAAAATGATAAAAACCCTTACAAGGGAGAAAGTGGAAAAGCAGATGAGTTTCCTTACATGAAAAATTACAAATTTAATTGAAAAAGAAAAAGCATTGATAGGAAAAATCTGAGTTAATCAACTCACTTGAATTTCAAAAATATTCTTCAGTGAGTATGAAAACTAACTCAAAAATTTTCCTTTTATAGTATAGAATAGATATTATAGTGTCATATAAGCTAGTGTTATTCTTATTGCAAATTTTTTCCTATAGTTATTGTAGGCTCATTTTATTAAAATTATTCCATCCTACATATATTAAGAAGGAATTATGGTCCCATGCATTTTGGATACTTCAGAAGCTCTTGTTCAAACTTCTCTATTTCGTACTGGGATCCTAGCAATGGGGTACAACTTACAAAAAAAAAAAAAACATTTTAGCTTATTAGCTCTGCTACTTTTCACATTAACCTCTTTGTCAGGTGGTAAGCTATATCATGTTTGGTGGTCTACAACCAGAAAGGCATTTCCTGAGAAGTTGATTAAATAGTGGAGTAGCATCTATATGAGAGCATTGTTGCAAAAGTTGGTATGTATTGCTATTAACCGTATGTGAGTTTATATTTTTAATATTTGTGCAGTAATATATTGACTGTCATTTTCACTATCTTTCTCTGTCCTTAGCTGTGAATATGATGTCATTGCCGATGAGAGTTAAGCTAACCAATAATGTGTAGTGGTTGAGGGCTAACAATGATACTCACAGCAGGACTTTCCCATAAATTATTCACCATGCCTCGACACATACAAAATCGTTATAAAATTTCGAATCATATTATATGTGGATTGATTACATATTATATATAGATCTATTCATAATATATTCCTAATAACACATTGTTGGGCATAACCGTGGAGAAAACTTTGCAGTGGTGATTACAAAGGAGTACTCGTGAAGAAACAAGCTTTGGTTTGTAAATTTTTTTAATGGTGACTGTGCATCCTAGTATCATCTCAGAAGAAATGGTAATCTATTCAGGGGATTATCCCCTGTGGGTTTGTTTGGTTGATGGTAGTGGTTATTCATTAGTCAAAGCATAAAACAAGCTAAAATTAAGAAACTTTCATAAGAAACTAGAAATAATTAAGTTTTAATGTTTAATTTTCTCTTTACATTAGCAAATAATCAAGAAATACATATTCCTTCCTTACGAATACATATTCAAAATTTTCAAATTTAGCTTGTGTGGAGACCAATAGGCTATGAAGCACAGCGGGCTTAAGAAAAGGGAACCTTTCAACACGTAATTGTGATTGAAACGGTAAAGATATGATGAAATTAGCATAGATCTCCAGACCCCACAGTAACTTTTTTAGATTTCTATTATGGTTGTTGGGCCATGAATAGTTGAAGCAGTAGGTTGGTGCACCCTAACAAAGACGACTCACGTGTATAAAAGTATTTCTTATTAACTGTTTCCGGTGTCTACCATAATTTTGCACTAAAAAAATGCTGAAGGGAAGTGTCACCGTCACTAATTAGGAAGAATCCCCACCAGTCTTAGCTTATTTTACATGATGGGTTTTAATACATAGTTTGAGGGTACACCGTAAGAGATTCATTTAATATTATTTTATTTTTGCTCTAACAATTCAAAGATGATCGGAAATCAGATCACAAGTATAGATATATTATCTTAGGAACCAACTAATGTTACGAGATTGAAGATGCTGCATTGCTGATATCTTAGGAATAAGAACTGATCATGGAAGATTGTGCCGAAGCTGATATTTCTATTTGAATCTATGGTAGATGTTCAACCTTC